TTTGTGGGGAACACAGTACCTCCATTGACACTGGACAGACACTGTTAGCAGCACACCCCTACCTTCCCAATGCAACATCAGCCATGGAGCACCATCACAGCTTAGCGGGCCACATGCATGCAAGCCGGTGATGGTGTGTTGTGGCCCCCCAAGCATCCAAGCTGTGTGCGTCGGAAACATGTTGGCGCGCGGTGGCGGTGGTTGCGCCTGGATGCGGCTGGTCGTCGCAACCCGCAACCACCGCCTTGGTTGTGGGTACCCAAAGATTGACCAGTGGTCGCCACAACCAGCCGCCTGTTTGCGGGGACCCTGGGTCGCCGCAACCATGCGGCGGGTCGTGGCGACCAAGGACACTGCGCCGCATATGCTGTGGCCTGTGCTCCTGACCCTGTGCTGATTAGGAAGCATGCGTATAGTGCGATTTATATGTTTAAATAAGGTACTGGCTTATTTGAGGCTAGTGCGCAGCAAGGTGAAACACCACCGAGTTGCTGGTCAAGTGCATTGACAGCACTGCACAATAAACAGACCTTAAGAACAGACCAAGCTAAAAATACCAACGGACACAGCAACGGCTGTGCAAAATATTTAATTCCGCATAATGGGCGCGCCACAGGGCCCAGGCGCGCGCGGAGCGGCGTCCCCGGCGGCATGTGCTTCTCGGGACGCCAGGGGTGACGGCAACTTGGGGCATGCGGGGACGCTTCTTGTTGCCCGGCGCAGCACAATGGCCCAGCGCCGTGTTTCCTTGATCGCCAGCGGGGCGCTTGGCAGCGCGGCGAGCCGCACCCAGGAGGGGCATGGTGGCGGCTGGCTTGTTGTTGAAGGCACTGTCTAAAGATTGCGCGGTGGGGAGGGGTAAACACCAACCTTAAGTAGGTGCCAACAAATGCGAGTTTGGTGCCAAACGCTAACAACGAACGCAGCGGGGCAGCAGGCGCCGAGTGGCTCAGTGTGACAGCTGGCTCAGCCTCAGGAGGCTGGGCAGGGCAACCCGCGGACCACACTTCATGCGGGAGATGCCTCTAGATGCAACTACAGCTTATTCGCCCAACAACAGGAAGGATCACCTCCAGGGGCTGTGGGGGCCGCCGGGTTGGTGACTCGGCCGACTTGTGATCATAGCTGCGGGCTAATGAGTGTCATAGGCTGCGATGTTGCGGGAATGCATTTGATCGCCGTCGGAACAACAGGCAAATGGGGAACCGCAGATTTAAACGTGCCTGTCGTGCCGTTGGAAGTCGCAGGAAGCCGGTGGCGCGACAGCAGTGCGTCTCTGTGTGTTTAAATAGGCGAAATAAATGGCAGAGGTGCTGTACGTTGCCAGCGGCCAGGCCTTGACGACAGGTGTCGTCTGGGCCGCTGAGCGGCGCAGCCTGAGTCATGCGTAGCGCCTCGCATCAGGGCAGCAAGAGCGGTTGGGTGCACAACTTGCGTGCGCATGTTTTCACCCACTTGCACGCCGCAAGCGACCTGCGGGATGTGCACATACTGTACCGGCATCAGGCTGCTTAGTTTTGGGTGAAGCCCATGTGTACCGTATGACCGTGCGC